TTGAGTTACGATATGCATAGGTATAATGACAGACTCATAGAAAACGTCAAATGTTTCAGTTTTCGCGCAAGAGATAATCACGATACAACATCTGTGTTGAACCAGCAAACTGAGTGAACAATTTATTGAAGCGTTAATGTGTTCCTAGAGGCAGAAGTATTCTAAAAACATTTCATCGTTCATACTTGCAATAAAATGTTTCACGGACTATAAAAGTGCGTTTAGGCATCCCTGTGCTGGCTGTAACTCGTCCATTGCATCGTGGCCTCCATACATGCCAGGGGATTATCGTTACATGTCCATAGGCGCCAATCGAGAGGCCATGGAAGAGAACAAATCGCTCCGAAACTGTGGTTTCATGCAGCAACTACTTCAGATGCTTATGAATAGTAAGCGTGTTTATTTCCAACCCATTTTCGTCCTGACACTTGAAACAACGATGAATATGATCAGATCAGCCTTTTACGTACATATCTATTACCGTTTTATTTATCAGTGCTATAGAAGTGTTTCATTTTTACCTGGTCAGTGTTAATCTCAGTGAACCTTTCAGCGCTTGTCACTAACTTCGGCTTCAACAGCAGTACATCAATAAGGGTGTCAAGAACAAGATGTATGCCACTTGTATCCCAACTGTGAGAAACAAGAGTTTTTCCCATAATATTGTTGGTGGTGGCCAGCAACGTTCAGCTGACAGATTCAGATTTTCTAACCAAATGACCACTTCTGGGTGACAGCCTACCTCTGAAATTGTAGATAGGGTATTCAAAAGTAATATGTCGCATGACCTGGTATTCGGTGATTAGACGACAACAGCAAAACTGTCGAATTCAAATCCGATTCAACATAGACCAGGCTCAGTTACACAGTAGTAAAAGGTATACTACAAACTTCTGAGATGCCGGATTGTATCCCTATGCGTTCTCATAACCGCTCATTCTCTGGGACAATGAATTCAAAATACAGTGGTTAGGCGTAATCAACCGAGAAGAAAGTACCAGGTCATTTCATTTGCACCGATTTGAACGCATGGTGTTTTGGTAAGTGCTGGCATTTTAGAATTGTCGTGGTACAGCCACACTGACCACACTGCCTATCAAATTGGCCTTGGTCTATCTGATCAGCCAGTATGATAAACAGTACAAGATGCCAAATGTATATGGTTTCCTTCGCGGGAACTAGCACTAGAAACGAAAGACATTATATATTCGAATGTCTCCAACTCTATCAGCAATTCCCTCACATCATATTAGACACTTAGCGAGCAGACGTCTGTTTCTTTATTATGACTAATTGTAAGACTAGGAACAACCTAACAGTCAATCAGTCTGTAAAATTTAATAGATAGTTTTTTTAGTTGAGAAAACCTTGTTTTCACTGATGAAATGCAAAGCGACCTGTCTGATTGGAGGTCGGCGACATGGCATGTCATTCAGCGCCATCTTTCCGATCTAGTGAGAGCACCGTGATAGGAGCGTCGACGATCATTTTGATTCATTTCCCAGATCACGTCCCTCGAGCCTCGTCACAATATTTTATTTCTCGAGTGATAGCTTAGCATTAAGTCGAAACCATTCAGTGTTCGCACTGGTCTTCGCCAAGGCTGCGTCCTGTCCCCTATCCTGTT